CAGGACGAATACGCATAGAAAAAAGCAGGGAAAATGTACATCCTGAGATAAAAGAAAAGGATGTGTGATTTGCAAAGCTTGGTTGGGTGTCAATGATATAGAAATCAGAGACACACGACCCCGACTAATTACAATGCCGAATTTCGGTGGGCTCTGATCGACAGGGGAAACCTAGATCTCATCTGACAGACACGTTGTTTTGAGAGAGAAACCAAATTACAGGACCTGTGTATCAGACCATGTTACACTACAATAGCAACCCATGTCAGATTCAAACCCCCATACTTTTTTCCACCCACGCAAAGATTGAAACCCTGTAACATAATCCTCTGAGAGGGAAGAAAAAATAAAAAGAGATCGGCAGGCCTTGCCGTGGAAGTCGGTCGAGGAGGAAACTACATGTACCCCCTTTGGCTTCTTGGGTAATCAACGCGAGGCCAATGAGGACACAAGCAAGAAGTGACATTTCAAGGAGTTTATTAAAAACGACCCGGCCGCGTTTTCAAACAGGGATCCTTAACCAAACAGAGAGAAGGAGAGCCCAATATTTATCTAGTTTCGACCATCTCCAGGGGTCTGGTGGGTTGGACCTTTACAACAAGAGACAGTCTTCGGTTACTTTTCATCGCTTGTTTTACATTTTCAGGAAGGACATTTTTGTGGGCGGGTGGGAAATTTCAGGGGACCATGTAGCATTTAATAAAAGTATGAAGGGAACAAGAAGAAAAATCCATGTCGTTGCCCCTGGTCTCGGTAAACTAATTTGCCACGTGGAGACGGTTCAAGTGGAAGGGGATGCAGTTTCAGATGGCATTCTCAGATTTAGAAGTGGGAGGAATGAATCTTGAAAGGAACGGGGATGGGAGACTTTCACCCCAAGTGGGAGTTGAACCTGAGGAACGGCACTAGAAGGCAGGGAGACACTACCTTGATAAGTCAGTACTGTTAATGTCTGTCATTATACACATAAGTTGATAGTGGCCAATGCATCAAAGCAGCTTTATACTTGTGACAACCTCAATAAAATATGCTGTTGGGGCTCTACTGCAAACAAAAATCCACAATGTTGTAAAATAGCCTTCACGAGCCAGCAGCTTTACATAAGTTGACAAAAAAAATTGGACAAAACTAGGTCGTTCAACTATTAAAGTTGCATTTTAGTTTCATAAAAGCTTTTGAAATGGTCTAAATTAGTTTTAAATTGTATATTTTATGTCCACACTGAATGCTGACATACATGTATGTGTGTATTTTGGTTTATTTTCTCTATTTCCTTCTATATTATTTGCTGAACATTAGAATAAATCTAGGACAGGAAATCTCTCTTTCGTTTTTGTTTCCACAAACACCCTTTCCTATCTATTCCAAATAACATTTCAACGAAATCATGTAGTGTTTTTTTTTTTTTACTTTTTACCCATGTTTCCAGGAAATTTACTTCTAAATTTAGGTAATGTCTGAGAATCATTTCAAAACAACTTACAAATGCATAAATTATAGTTAGTGACTAAACCGGTGTGCACTAAAAAACATTGCTACCTAGTTTACTGGGGAAAAAATGCTACACCCCATACCTGGCTTACTGTTATAATGGAAGATTACTGAACTGGGCATTTAACTATAAGTGATTCGGAACAAAAATCCCCGTGCTAGGGAGACTTGATGTGGTACATGCCAAAACTGACTCCTTGCGGGGGAAAAAAAATGAATATTGTCTGAAATTCACAAGGAAGCTTTAACTAGTCTCTGTCGGGCATTACATTTCATCTGGCAATCACTGGGGAATTTATTTTGCTTTTTGTGGTTTACAAGGTTTAAATGGGACAATATTTTTCCAGTAAATTGGCAGGATTTTGCAGTCACAAAAATAACTCTAAAGTTAAAGGTGGCAAGTGCTAAATCCACCATGATTCGTTCACTGATTGTTAGTGGGATTTATTTGAAAATGTGCAAATAGTGCTTCAGCTTGAAAGGGCAACAATGTCGGAATGGATGGCGTCTGAATTTCATAAAGTGAAATACTTGGAATGTGATTTTTTTTCTGTAACTTTATTTAAAGATGAACCCCCCCCCTTTTGTTTTATTCTGTCTTTGGGTGGCCTGGATTTTTAGTTAGTGTGCTGCTCCCCTGATTGATTCAGTTCACAGTATAATGCAGAACTCACAACGTAAAGGAATAAAATAATCATATCTTCTAAAAAAAAAGGGGGGGGGGGCAGCGTAAAAGTAGCTCAATGCGTTCTTTTCATAATGTCCTTTTTGTGTTTTCGCACGGCTTTTCACTTTTTTTCTACATGGTTCTATTGTGTTGTTTTGAACTACATGTAGTCTGTGTTTTTATTTGTATTTCAATGATTACTTTTCGGTCCTGTTATTGACGGTTTTTATTGCATCTCTGCATTTTAGACTTTCATGTTTCGTATGGATTACATTGTTCATTTGGTTCACTTTTAAAAAGAAACTTTACAATTGAAAAAAAAAAAAAAAAAATTATAATGAAAATTTTTATAATGCAAAATCCATTAAAATGCTCTCAGGCTGAGAGCATTTTGATGAATTTGGCGCTATAAAATGCATGTTTTGTTTAGGCAAAAAAAAAAAAGTCTCCGGTTTCTGGTATGCGCGCGCGTCGCCGTAGCCATGCGCGTCAGCAAAATGACATTTTTTTTTTCAATGAAAGATGATGTCTAAAAACCGCCAAACTCACTGGTTTGACTGGAATCCTGCTACTGCACAATTTTAACGTGTTTTTAGATTGGGTTATGGTCGAGAATCAGCTTTATGTGGCCTCTCTAGACTCCCATATATTAACACTAAGTTTAGTCGGGCACCATTTGCAGTCATCAGCCGACATTTGAAGCAAAAAAATCAGGTAAAAAAAAAAAAAGCCGCGTCGCCGCACCACTTTTTGGGCAAGCTCCATACCAGAAACCGGAGACTTTGTTTTTGGGCCTTTACCAATTCTAAACATTATTTCAAAAAGTGAACCAAATGAACAAATATTTGAATGTCTGTTTCCAGCTGAACAAACAAAAACAAACTCCATTTAAAAGCTGTGTGGTTCATTGGAGTCACTGTTAATTTCATGAACAGTCAATTATGGCTTAGATACAAATTCACACTTGATGGCTCTCCTGAGTGCTAGCCGACGCGAACTACAAGCCCCACTCCACAGCTCAAAGCAAACCACTTAAACGCAACTGAACACGTAGTTGGCACAAGGCTTCTGACACCATGTACACTGTTGGTTTGGCCAGCGGGGGAGGGGCAAATAACGTGGGAGTCTGAACAATCAATAGAAATACTCCGTATGCTGTTTGCGAAAGTCAAGGCCGAAGCGGGACACTTTTATGGGGAGAAAATGAAATCATGAATTTTCCCCCACTTTTTTTTGACATCTACAATTCACTTAAGCTCAAATGTCAATAACAGAAGATTGTTAAATTTGTGTCGAGTGAATGTCCAGGGTTCAATGGAGATACACCACAATTTGATTGTCAATTTTGTTTTTGGATCTTGTGTTGAATAATTTTGTTTTTCAAAAAGAGACAGCAACCTTTCTGGAATTACACTGAATGTTTCAGATTTTTACAGTGAACTAAATAATCTGATTTTGTCACCGACCACAAATGACATGTACAATGTACGTGTAATAAAACATGTATAATCTACATGAATAAGTAAACATTTATATACATGTACATGTACAAGTACTGTATCTTCCTATACAGAAAAAAAACCTGAAAAAAAACAACACCGACATTTACTGATGAATTTCAGTGCATACAGCCAAACCAAACAGCCGTGATATGTTCGCATTGAAAGCCTTTGTGTATGCGACGGCATTTTCCCTACATTGAATTTTGGGTAATTCTTGAAAAACATTGTGGGCACGTGTTAAGGAACTGCAGCATATAACGCCAGCTAATGTAATTATTGCAAACAATGTTTTCTATTATCTGTGCAGCGTGTTTTCTTGTCTCATTAGGCATGTACATGTAAGGGCAATGGTCTAGCATAAGCTTGAGAGCAATGTACTGACGGTTATTTGCCATGAAGTGTTAGGCTTGAGGCATGAGAGATGATGACTATCATGAGTTTCATGAACAAAAGTGCAGACAGAATGAAAGTGCGATTTTCTTAAAGTCAAATGCCGGAGTAGTTGCTTTTCGATATTTGGGGCCAACAATAACCATGGTAACCAAATGTCACTTACTTGGCAAAAACACGTTCATACGTTTTGGTAATGATATTCCCTTTGTTTACGGTAAGTCTTGTCTGGTGAATTCCGTCAATCAACAAATATTACATTGGAGATTGCAAATTTGGAATGGGCGACACATTGTTAGTTGGATTTTAATAAGACGACAACGACAATATGCTTAGTTGGTTTGACTTTTTTTACAAGACCACCAATGGCACATGTACGGAGATGCATACCGGTGTTATAGACGCTGTTGAAAGCAATGTTAATGACTTCACAAGATGCGCTTGAAACAGTGACATACCCAGCATGATAATATCCATTGTGGGATATTTTTTTAAGGATGATTAAGGATTTTCCTATGAATCTGTCTCGTGCAAATTAAAACTGTCCCAAAGGTAGTTTAATTTTCAGTGGAGATAATTAAACCAGGAATGTACATGTACATGTACCGTCTTCAAATGATGAAATCAATTTGTACGATGAAGTACATTGGCATGACATGTCTCATGATAGCGAGAATTTTTTTTTTCCAGGCTTGGAGCAGACGTGAAAGACAAACAATAGTGCCACCACTGAATGTTAGTTCCATTAAACACCACAGGTTACATGTATGTTATCAAGTCGACAGAACAAAGTGGGTAGACTGAAGAAGCGGTGTGTTATGTTTTAGTAGTGAAAAGGGTATAGTTACTTGAAGTGGATGATGCATGTTAGTGACAAGACGAGAGAACATGAAAGAAGAAGGGGGGACACTGCGTTCCGAATAAAAATTTGGTTGTTGTGGTCGTCATACCCCTACCCTGCTCTGTAGATGTGATGGTGGTTGTTGTGGTGGTTGTAGTTTGGGCCGGTGGCGATGTCGTGGCAGCCGTAGCCGGCGCGCCGCTTTTCTGGACCGAGGTTGCGCTGCCGGCCCCCGTGCAGATGGGGGCACAGGCCGTTTGCGTGGTGGCGGCGGCCATCATGCTGGTCACGTCCAGCTGCGCGGACTCCTTACCCTTGAGCCCCACGTCGTGGTGGGCGGTCACCATGGGTGTCTTCTTGACGAAGGAGAGGAAGAGGTGACGACACAGGTCCTCCGGCATGTCCACGTCCAGGTAGGTCTCCATGAAGAGCTTGAAACCCTCATAGTTGATTGGCTGAAGTCACACAAACAAAGAAAGACAAAAAGACTTCTGTAATGATTGATGTAGTCCATGTCAAGTCCACCACAAGCCCTGTCATAAGGAAATCACATGTCAATCACAAGTCTATATTTCGTCACAGGTGATGAACAACCACAAAATGTTTTTCTAACTTTGGATGGGATGACTTGTGATGGACTTGTGAGAGCTTGTGATGGACTGAACTATCCCACTGCTACAAAAGATGTACTGTTCTTCTTGAAGATGCTCATTTTCTTGAAGATGGACTTGTGAGAGATTGTGATGGACTGAACTATCACACTGCTACAAAGATGTACAGTTCTTCTTGAAGATGCTCATCTTCTTGAAGATTGACTTGTGACAGCTTGTTATGGACTTAACTATTACACTGCTTCTTGAACATGTAGTGCTCATGCTCTTCAACACATTAGACTGTATTTCTCCCAGTGAAACTACAACTTGTGTGTTTTATTATAACCAAAAATGTATTTAAATTCTCTATTTTGAGCATCTGAAACTTTTGGAGGAAAAAAGACAACTTATATATTTTTGGTTGCTTTAATCAGTAGACAGTAGACTTGCAAGTAGACTGGTTCCTTGTTTCTACTTAATTAACTTACATTTAGAGGGGGCGGGAACCAGTGCAGTCTACAAAAACTGAATTAATGTTTGCCCAAAATTTGTACAGTAATTATTCCATAAAGGTGGGCAGAATTTTTCCCAGCGATGTTTCATTCAAAAGTGACTGCACTTTTGTGTTGATGGAAATAAATAGCAATCCAGAAATTTCAGGCCGAAACCAACACATAGCACGTATAGTACAAATTGGGGTAAGTGATCTTTCCCATCCCGGATTTCAAGATTCATTTGTGTACATGATCAACACTCAGACCACAACTGAAACAAAACTTGCTCTACATAAAACAAAGAAGTATTTGTGAAAAAGAGGAAGTTCCTCAATATAAACTGGTACGTCTATTCTTATTTTTGTTATAGCCTTGGGGAGGGCCATTATCCGCGACCAGGCACCTACATGTAAGCCAAGCACAGATTTATTCCCATTCATAAATACCGGTACATTTCGGTCAAAAAGTCAAAACAAGTCAAAAATTCACAAATTTCCAATGATATTTTTCGACAATTTTACTTCACGTTTTGTGAAACAACCCTCTGGCCATGTTCATGGCATGTGCCTCGCACGTAGTGCTATAAAAAACTCCTTATATGGAGATTGGCGTGCCCGTGGCGTGTACTGCGCGATGTGGCACAGAACGCAGCAGTGTTTTAGCTGTGGTTTAAAACCGGCCATGTCATGGGTTCTCGACCAATAGAAATGGGTAAACTGTCTCTGTGTTTATGAATTGAATTTTAAAAATATACAGGATTTACATTGAAGCCTTGTGGTTACGCATACAGAGGTTTATCATTTCAGGGTGAGCTGTTAAGACTTTTGGGCCTAATTTTTATTCTAGTTTTGTTTCTTGCCTCTCAACCCAAATGCCCCTAATTTCTCCCCCGTTAAATGTACAAACATGGTATTGGGAAAATCACTCATCTCCTGACGTTCAAAGGGACAGGCCATTTCGAAGCAACAAATCACAATGACCTCCATAATAAGAAAAGGCCACGTATGCAAAATTGAGCAAAATACAGGGACACATTTGTAAGGATATTACCAGAACAGAAAATGAAATATTACAATAACTGTATTTGGCATAAATGCGCATGGAAGGTATCAGAGGATTCAAAACCTGGAAGAACCAAGTTGTGATTCATACTAAAAGACCTTCAAAACTATTTTTTAATTCTAATGAGAAATATATAATGGCAAGTATCACTTTTATTTTAAAGTTGAGCAAGGTGATTCACTGGAGCGGGGTTTGAACCTGCGACCTCCGGATTACCGTTCCGGTGCTCTACCAACTGAGCTCTCCCAATCTATGTAGGCGGTTCCCCATTTTGTCAATGGCGTTGTTCAAGGGGTTTTTCTTTTTTGGGCAATTTTTTTTTTTTTTTTTACAATTTGTAGGAAATATTTGGGAAACTGAAAAAGATTTTTAAAATGGTATATTTTGTTAAGTGGAGTGATACCCCATATTCGTTAACGCATAAATTTGCACAATTTGTAGGAAATATTTGGGAAACTGAAAAAGATTTTTAAAATGGTATATTTTGTTAAGTGGAGTGATACCCCATATTCGTTAACGCATAAATTCTAGCATTTTTGGTGCAATATTGAACTTGGAGAAGCAACCGAACTAGAAACGATATGTCAATTTGGCATTTTGGAGTTTTTCATTTTTTTTTTTTTTTTTTAGCTCTGACTGCAATTGATATAGTTCAATCAAGTAAAAAAGGGAAAGAATGTAGTATCCAGACGCCACTTCTTTGGCTGTTTACTAAGTCTTTGGAGACTTGCATGCATTTTTTTGTATTTTTTAACAAAATTGGAAATGTTTCTCATTCCCAGATTCATGTCTTTTCCACATTTCTGTGATGACTGGCCTTCACTGAGATAATATACGGTGAAAAAGTGGCATCAGGATGCAACATTCTTTCCAATACAACTAATGGAATCATTCCAAGACAAATCACGTTATTTTGCACAAGGTGATTTCGCACGGAATAAACCAATGACTGTTGCTATGGGAACAAACCTTTGTAGCCCCAGTAAATTCCTTTTTTTTTTTTTTTTAAGTAAAAAGAATTTTTTCCTCACCTGCTCTGGATTGTACTTGGAGAGGACACCGTTTCCATGGAATTCTTCCAATACATCCTTGAGAGTCTTCCGGGAGTCTGTGATCGAAATGTAGAAGAGAAAAAAGAATCAAAAGCCACCATCCAACAATATTTGAGCAATTCACTTCAATCTCTCACAGTGGTTTAGAATGGAGCAAATTCGATCAAGTTTAGGATGAAATTTTTCGTTGGGAAGATGTACATTTTAAATTGGGTTTCGCCTTAATTGTCAACGTAAATCATGAACACAGTTCATGTATAATCAGTGTTGTCTGAGGACCTGCAAGAAAAAATATTACAAGCTTATACTCGGTGGGACTCGGCAAAGGGCAAAATCCAATTTTAAAAAAGTATGGTTAAATCATAGTTGGACCGATTCAGTTTGACTTTTCCCCGACGCAAAAATTCCTTCATACAAAATAATGATTGTATAGTGCCGGTGCTAAGATTAAATTCAAACCAGTCAGCTGACCCCGGCCACGGCTTTGTGCTAAAGTGGTTAAGACATCTGCACTAGTACGCAAGATGTCGCGGGTTCGAGTCCCACATGAGTGCACTTGTGAATTTCATCTTGCAAGCTCTCCACATCAGAGAATATGAAATACCTACAAAATTACGTCAGTAAAGGGCAAAAACACTTATAAAGATGTACATCACTCAGAAAATAATAATAAAATTCCATCACACAAGATGGTCATTAATGTTTGGACTTTAGACTAGTCTAAACAAATATTATTTATCAAGATCATTTGGGTTTTTTTTTTTAGGGAAAATTACGCATCTTCTCTGGAACAGATTCAAGTCTCTTGAACAGAATCTGAATCGATCCTGGAAATCTTAGAATCGTCCAAACCTAATGTAAGGTGTGGTTGACTGACACCAGGGCTTAAACGTCTGAACATTTTGAGTTTTTGAATATATATATCACAGACTTCTAATCAACTTCTCTTGTTATGATTGCCTTGGACTTGGCCAAGGACTCAACTACATACAACAACCAGTCACATCGGAAAGCAATTCGGCCAAGGTCAGATGTACATCTACTATTCCACATGTACGTGATAACATGCAGGTAGGGTTGTGCATCGGAACCAGGTTCCGGAGTACCCAACTGTTAATGCTGGAACCGGTTCCAGATTATGGAATCAGGTAGCCGTAACCAACTTTACAAATTACTAAGTGACTTCTCAGACAATGAAAAAGAAAGGTTTCAAATGTCATTTGTGGAGGATTTGAAAAAATGAAAACCAGGCTACATGGGAAAACAAAGCACATTTCACATTTATGACGCTCGTGAAAGCTGCAATTTACACCGTAAAGCTAAAGCTCACTGTACACACTTGTGTCTTGCTGTATTTGCGAACCGATGTGGCAGTATTATCATGCGGACCTTTATAAACAATCTAAACAGCAACTCCTGATATTTGAATTTCAGGTTGGGTTTCTTTCACGGGTAGCCGGGTACCCATTTTTTTTTCAATCGGGTACCCGGTTCCTGTTCTACCCGTAAATGCACACCCCTACATGCAGGTGATAAATGTTTGACGTTCACAATTTGTTTGTGTATTTTTTATGAAGGTACAATAGTAATTATACATCTGGCATCACTTGACATAATAATTGTAAAGACACTATGATTTCGGAAAGTTTCTTTTAATAAAAAAAAATAGTCCTAAAAATCTGCTTGGTCTTAAAAACTTGACACACAAAATACAAAATTACTTGACATAATAATTGTAAAGACGCTATGATTTCGGAAAGTTAAAAAAAAAAAAAAAAAAAAGTCCTAAAAAATCTGCTTGGTCTTAAAAACTTGACACACAAAATACAAAATTACGTGGCATAATAATTGTAAAGACACTATGATTTCGGAAAGTTTTTTTTCAATATAAAAAAACTAGTCCTAAAAATCTGCTTGGTCTTAAAACTTGACACACAAAATATTTCAAATGTTTCTTTTATAACCATTACTGCATTTTTCTTCTTCTTTTTTGACGACTTGGAAGAGAAGAATATGTTTCAGGAAAAGTCTGCAGGATTTTTGTTTTCCAGGAACGAGAATTGGTCATATTAAGTTGGCTTGAACCAATTACATGTACATGTACATGTACCTGTACCGCGCAAAACTACCCAAGCAGCCTGTAAATCCCTGTATACCTCCCAACATGCCCAATAGCACAGTATGGTTTTGTAGCTTCATAAGGGAATCAATACAATGTTATACAATGTAATACAAGTGCCAAAGGGCTAAGATGGTGTGTTCTCTTTCTGAGCTGACAAATCCCTTGGACGGTCACTAATTACGTACATGTACAGCGGAGTATCGGGGTAATAAGACCTGCTCAACAACTGTCAACATTGCTTATGAAATAATCGCCGCCTGTCAGGAAGGCTGACAATGTGGCTGTGAGGTTTTGACAGTAATGAACTACAACACGTGGCAAACATGCAGACCTTGGCTACTTATAACATTACAACCAATAATCATATACCGATATGAACGTGTACCGGTACCAGTAGTGTGTAGTACATGTAAGTTTACACATTGGGTGTTACATTATGTCCAGTGTTGTCCTTTTGAAAAATGTTGACCTATAATAGACTTTATTCACAAGTCCGCCATATTAAATTGAATCTAAAAATTAATGTGGCCTGACGTTGCGAACTTAGCAAGTTCTTCTTCAGAGGCTAAAACTTTCTGTTTTAGCCTCTGAAGAAGAACTTGCTAAGTTCGCAACGTCAGGCCACATTAATTTTTACATTTATATATTTCAGGTCAATCTAGTCAGTAAGCAGTTTGCAGCAGTCTTACTTTTTTTCATATTAAATTGAAAGCGAGGTACATGTACACTCTTCATTTTCTGAACTTGCGAGTAGAAATGAAAGCAATGAAATACAATAAAAGTTAATTACAAATTAATACTAGTCTGCTCTGATGAATAATTAAAAATGTGTGATTAAACATACCCTAATGTTTTTAAGCCACATTTTAAAAAAAATTGAAAGTGAGGCTTAGAACGCACTCCAATCATAAACTAGTCTGGCACCATCCCATTCAACAATTTACAATTTATAAAATAGATTCAGGGAACACTACTCAAAATGGCTTTCTCTTCTGAAAATAAAGTCTATTCGGGTCATTTACAATAAGCCCTACTAGGTTTCTAAATTATGATCCTTCATTCACAGATATTTCACGGATATGAAACTTCAATTCCTAGAATGAAATGTTAATGCATGGGAAAACCAGACCTGAAAATGAAAGGAAAAATATAAATAAACAAAGAGAAGACAGTAAGTTGTCATGATGATCCTAAGTATGAGTCAACAGATTTCAACAAAGTATTTACAACTTTGGTGCCATTTCCAAAGTTTCAATTTGCCTATATCATAGTGAACTTCACAAAGTTGTGAACTAACACCACCAAAAAAGGGTAAGTTAATTAACTACAATATGAATTAACAAGTACGTATACTCACAGTGTTTTGTATACATGTGTACATAGTCCAAAGGAAATGGTGTACGATTAAGACTGTTCATGCTGTGTAAGATGAGTACGGTCGAGGATGTCAAAATCATTGAAATATCGTGTACTGATGCACACGTACATGTACGTAGGCTGTGAGTTCATACAAAACACGCAGTGTGTTTCAAGTCTTTGTGGCTAAATAACTGGATACGTCCTGAATGCGCCCGGTATACACGTACGTCACACGCGATCAGACAAAGCCCTCAACCGATATTTCCTTTTTTCACTTCCTGGTGATAAGAGGAAATTGGGATTATACTGTATGAGAAAGTAAACGACAACCCTGCCAAAAAAAAAGGAAGGGAAAATGCTACACCTTTTACATGTACGTAAATGTTGGAATGCACAGGCCTTGTGTTTTTGTGTATCGTCCTCACTTTCCAACACTTCCGAGTCGTTGCTTGTGATCAGTTGGTCGATTTCACAGGGATTGCTCAACCACGGGCACGGATGATTGCCCAACTGGAATGATGATCTTTAACTTTGGATGAATAGCATGCTGGAGTGATCACTGTATTTTGCTTTTTTTCACGGTTGTTGTACTCGAAGTGAAGTCGGGTAAAGTTGGTTGGACTGGTCATTGCCAGTTCAAGGAAAGTTGCATCACGGTTGACACTAGATTTTGATGATAACTTATTTTGAGTTCAATACCAAGAGAAAAATCAAACAAACTACCCCACAAACATCCAAAAATGTCGGTCTTTCCATTTCTTACTTATAGTTGCAGTTGCAGATTTAGACAAGTTTTCTAGAATACTGGATTTTCCAGTGTGTAGTTGTACGTATATATTAAAAAATTAATACTTCCCTAAATGACAACCATTCCTTTGTTTCTACATGTAAAACAGTGGGTTTTCCCAACCATGTACATATATGTAGGTTATTCCAACTAAAATAAACCCTCAAATCAACCACAAGCAACAAAGAAAAAAAGGCACTGTACACTGAAATATGTTGTTTTTTTTCCGTGTTGACTTCACCGGGACCAATTTAAACTGCACACAAAATTAAACTATTTCAAATGAACAAAGCAGCTGATGCTAAAAAAATACCCTAGAAGTAGAAAATCAAAATTCCATTTGAGTCAACAATAGTTTAGAAATATTAGACAGTGCCTTTAAAGAGCGCATTTAAATTTTACGGCAAATCTTTTTCTCGTTTTTTACATTAGAAATGCAAGTAAGATGGCTCAACGGGTACAGGTTGTAAACTTATAGACATCGTTGTTGTCGCGGTCATCTACATCTACAACACAGGTACACGTAGGCCACATAGGTTTACCCTGGTTTCACCGTGGCTTGTTGGCACCAACATCGTCCCATCGCCCGGGACATTTTAACGCAGTGACGACATTTGTTTTATTAAAAACACCGCCAGCAAAAAAGGGAGTGGGAGTGTGTTAATATATGTGGTCCATCCACGGGAAACGGTTAATTAAAGAGCAGCAGATCATGCCTGTAGGATTTGGGTTCTTGGTAAATTACTCATGTATGACCGACTTAGCTCGGGTGTTAACAACAATTTAGT